ATATGCATGTAAGTACACATACCATGTATGCATGTAAGTACACATACCATGTATGCATGTAAGTACACATACCATGTATGAATGTAAGTACACATACATGTATGCAGGTGAGTACACATACCATGTATGAATGTAAGTACACATACCATGTATGCATGTAAGTACACATACTACGTATGCATGTAAGTACACATACCACGTATGCATGTAAGTACACATACCACGTATGCATGTAAGTACACATACCACGTATGCATGTAAGTACACATACCACGTATGAATGTAAGTACACATACCACGTATGAATGTAAGTACACATACCATGTATGCATGTAAGTACACATACCATGTATGCATGCGAGTATACATACCATGTATGCATGTAAGTACACATATCATGTATGCATGTAAGTACACATACCATGTATGCATGTAAGTACACATACCACGTATGCATGTAAGTACACATACCACGTATGAATGTAAGTACACATACCACGTATGCATGTAAGTACACATACCATGTATGCATGTAAGTACACATACCACGTATGCATGTGAGTACACATACCACGTATGCATGTGAGTACACATACCATGTATGCATGTAAGTACACATACCATGTATGAATGTGAGTACACATACCATGTATGCATGTGAGTACACATACCATGTATGCATGTGATTACACATACCATGTATGAATGTGAGTACACATACCATATATTAGTTATTAAATTAATAATAATAATAATAATGAATTTATTGCATCCTTAGAAATAATTTCCATTGGTTGACAGCAATAAAATGTTAGTAATAAAGTACAATACATATATAACTAAAGTAAAATGTCAGTTATTGTTATTTCTGATTTCAAATATTTTGTATAAGTATTCACCAACTTGTCTTATTAGTACGTCTTCTCTTGAACTCATAATATATTTAAATATCTGGTCATCACTTTTCAATTCTTCTGGAATACTGATATTATTAAATAGCTTTTGTCTTTCTTTTTGGTACCTAAGACATTCCATGAAGAAATGTTCTTCATTTTCAATTTTGATCTGGGAACATTGCTTACAGATTCTGTCTTCTAAAGGTATTTTGGATTGGGTATGTCTACCCTTCTCTATTTCTAATACATGACTGCTTATTCTGAAACGAGTCAATAAGATTTTATGTTTCAGATTACATAAAAGCAAATATGGTTCAAAAGTGTACGAGTCTTTAAACTTTATATACGTTCTCAGTTTTCTATTATCATTTGTTACACTCAACTTTCAGAACTCTACATACCTTTGTTGGATGTTTTTTTGTATGTTTTTTATTTTACTGTGTGGTAATTTTTGAGGTACATGTAAGACAGACAAGGACAAGTTTGTAATATTTTCGGAGACCATGTTTTTTACTGCTGTAAACCAATTTAAATTTTGTTGTTTTTGTTCTTCAAAGGCTTGTTTTGTAATATTACTGTCTGGTAAAGCACTAATACAATACCAGTATTTATAGATTTTCTGAATATCTATAAGTAATGGGAATTTACCAAGTTCAGCTCTGCATGCTGCATTTGAGGAGAATTTACTCACACTAGTATTTTTTTGCAGAATTTCAAATGTAACTGTTCAATTGGTGTTTTGTCCCATCTGTTATTGTCTAGTATGTCATGTCCCCAAGTTGTTGATCCATATAACAAAATTGGTTTAATACATATCTGAAAAAGGTGCATAAATGTTCTACAGTCAGTCTCTCTTGGCATTGCTTTCAACAGTGCATACATTGCTCTAGTAGCTTTGTCTGCTAAATGTTGTCTTGTTTCTTGGAACTTTCCAGTTGATTGTAAAGTTATACCTAAATAAATAGAAGAAATATGACCTTGTCTGAAGGTATGTAATAAATGAACTATATTGTTATTATAGGTATGGTAAAAGTGAAACAGTTAAAGTAATATTACAACAAGGAAGATGCTCACCAACTGTAGAGTAAGTAATATTTATTAGTCATAATTTTTGACAAAATTGGTCATAAATCGCATGACAATGTTCATTAGTTTATTATGTACAATCATGAAGCTAATATCTCATGGTACAATGAAATAGCATTATTTTGTGTATTACAGTTAAGCTTTTTGAGAAACGTGTCCTAATATTTCTTGAAAATTGTTATTTTTAAAACAATTCCATAGAACACATTGTTAGAGAAAAATGCATTTTTGACACTTTTTAAAACCAAGATTTTTTAAATAATTCAGAATAACAAAATAAAGTACTCCATCATTAACAATATATGATTTTGTCAGCCCATGTCACCAGGCTAGATTTTGAGATATTGCATAATATCACTACCATAGGAACCTGAGGTAAAAGTGTTATAATAGTGTCAAAATGGAGACTTTCCACTAAAATACAACCATCAATTTCTTGAAAAAGGGCTGGTGACCCCTGACTTTTTAGCTCTGCTGTCGACAAAGTCGACACAGCGGAGCTGTTCATATTACTGATTGCCCGTCGTCGTCAACTTTACAATTTCAACTTCTTCTTCTAAAACTGCAAGTCAGAATGTTTTCAAATTTGTACCTTGGATGGTTCTTTCTCAGATTTGTTCATTTCATGTCAAAATCTCAAATTCTCTATTTTTGGTGAATATTTTTGTCATTTTTGGTAAAAAGTGATATTTTCAACTTCTTGTTAAAAACCGTTTGTTAAAAACCGCAAGTCTGATTGCTTTGACATTACATATATAGGTACTACATGTGGACCTTTTTCAGATTTGTTCATTTTGTGATGATATCTTCAATTCTCTAATTTTGGTAAATATTTTTGTCATTTTTGGTAAAAAGTGATATTTTTGACTTCTTGTTAAAAACCGCAAGTCCAATTGCTTTGATATTACATATATAGGTACTACATGTGGACCTCTCTCAGATTTGTTCATTTCATGATGATATCTTCAATTCTCTAATTTTGATGAATATTTTTGTCATTTTTGGTAAAAAGTGATATTTTTGAATTCTTGTTGAAAACAGCAAGTCCCATTGATTTGAGCCTATACATATTGTTCATTTTCTAATGATATCTTCTGTTCTTTAATTGAAATGTGAATTGCTAACAGCGTAGCTATCTCAGCCGACAGGCTGCTTGTTTGCTTCATTTGTGTACGTACGCTCAGTTATTATCTGCCTTCAAATATGCTAATTTTACCCAGGTAGGTCTTATATCCACTACAATATCCTTGCTTGTCATTTATAACTTCTATTTAACAAGCTGATTGGTGATCCGCCCCACTAATTAACAAGCTGATAAGCTGATTGGTGATCCGCCCCACTAATTAACAAGCTGATAAGCTGATTGGTGATCCGCCCCACTAATTAACAAGCTGATAGGCTGATTGGTGATCCGCCCCACTAATTAACAAGCTGATAAGCTGATTGGTGATCCGCCCCACTAATTAACAAGCTGATAAGCTGATTGGTGATCCGCCCCACTAATTAACAAGCTGATAGGCTGATTGGTGATCCGCCCCACTAATTAACAAGCTGATAAGCTGATTGGTAATCCGCCCCACTAATTAACAAGCTGATAAGCTGATTGGTGATCCGCCCCACTAATTAACAAGCTGATAAGCTGATTGGTAATCCGCCCCACTAATTAACAAGCTGATAGGCTGATTGGTGATCCGCCCCACTAAAAAAAATAACTTTTCAGGTGTTGCCATGGTAGTGACTCGAAAAACAAAATAGTAACTTTAGGCACACACTCAAGCAAATTAGAATGAGATTTTGAATCAAAGATTTGTATGAGGATACATTTGCACGAAGCTACAATCAAATTATTTTTTTTTTAAATTTGTCCACTTTTCTAGAGTGCAAGTGTGACCTGCTTGTCAGTTTGACAAATATTGGCCCAGTTTCGCTTTCCCCACCCCCCAAAAGTTAAAAAACCAGTCCTGGCAAATGTTTCCCCACTTAAGCTGAGTAGAATAAGATATGGTTTTTAACCAAGATTTGTAGGAGGAGATACATTTGACATGTTTTTTGGCTGCTGTCATGGTGGCAGTGGGCCAAGAATTTTTTTTTCAATTTTATCGTCTAACTAAAGTGGAGGTATGACCTGCCTGCCAGAAGAATTAATATGTGAAGATGCCACTCACAGATACATACACACACCCACACACAAGTGATTATAAGGGCAATCCTAGCAGCAGATCACCAATAAATAACTTTTTAGGGCATGACATTTTAATCTCACTTGTTTGAAATGTATGTTTCCAATATATTCACTATAATCTGTTCAGGCAATTATGTTAGTATTCAGTTGTCTGAATGGTAATTATTCTTGGTTATAGCACTACTTTTTGTGTCAAACCATACTTACATTTACACTATGCAATTAAATTCAATTAATTTTATTGTTGTTTTATAGAAATGAGAACGGTTCAACACCACTTCACTTTGCAGCAATGAGAGGATATCCCAAGGTAGTTCAACTGTTACTGGCACACCAAGAGATAGATAAGGTATACATAAATAAAAAGTCATACATGCATAGGCTTGTTACTAAGTTTAATTTATTATTCTAATACTTTTGTTTATATATGCCAGGCAGTGTGTCTAATAAGTCATTTTTATGCGTCACTGACATAAACCAAATGACGCAACATTAAATAGTGATATTGACGTCTTATTGACCAATCAAAAAACCTAATTCATATAAAAATTTACTTATCTAAAAATGTTTTGGTAACATTAAAACATTTCGTAATTTTGAAAATAAGACATGAATTTTTAGACTAAATTGTACATGAACAGGACTAGATGCCACACTACCATAACTGACAAAAGAGAGATACTTAACTATTCTATTGACCTCTAAGCTTTGTTGCCATGTTGCTATGCATCATTGAAATCCAAATTTGTTACGACCCTCAAAAATTAACAAACCACTGACGTCATATTTGATATGGGTCTCAGGCCATATAAATCCGATTGTGACACTTTAGCTAATCTCAACCAACAAGATTCACTGATTTCATCCTAAACAAATAGACAATCCTGTCTGATTTGTAAGAGACTCAACTCTTGCTTCTATGGTTACAATCCAATTATTAATGTTATTTTTTGTTCAATGCTAGTGAGTCACAGTCATTATAATGCATCAAACAAGCTTTGTGCACATGTCACTCATTTTAAAGTTTAGGAATCTGTGTACTGCAAACAAGCTTACAATATAGCATTCATTCTTTTAATTATTTTGTTACTATCTAGGGAGCTCTAGACAAGGATGGTAAAACTCCCTTACATCTGTGTGAAGAATGCCGACAAAATGAATGGGAAGCTGTCTCCAAACTACTGAGGGATGCTATGAGGAGGCCGGTAAGTAAATGATGAATGGATGAAGAGACTGGTGGGTAAATCCTGGATGGTGTGAGGTTATTGGTGGGTAAGTCCTGGATGGATGAGGAGACTGGTGGGTAAGTCCTAGATGGATGAGGGGCTGGTGGGTAAATCATGGATGGTGTGAGGTTATTGGTGGGTAAGTCCTGAATGGATGAGGAGACTGGTGGGGTAAGTCCTAGATGGATGAGGAGACTGGTGGGTAAGTCCTGGATGGATGAGGGGCTGGTGGGTAAATCATGGATGGTGTGAGGTTATTGGTGGGTAAGTCCTGGATGGATGAGGAGACTGGTGGGTAAGGTTTGGATGGATGAGGGGCTGGTGGGTAAATCATGGATGGTGTGAGGTTATTGGTGGGTAAGTCCTGAATGGATGAGGAGACTGGTGGGGTAAGTCCTAGATGGACGAGGAGACTGGTGGGTAAGTTCTAGATGGATGAGGAGACTGGTGGGTAAGTCCTAGATAGATGAAGAGACTGGTGGGTAACTCGTAGATGGAAGAGAATACTGATGAGTAACTCCTGGATGGATGAGGAGACTGGTGGGTAAGTCCTAGATGGATGAGGAGACTGGTGGGGTAAGTCCTAGATGGATGAGGGGCTGGTGGGTAAGTCCTTGATGGTATAAAGAGACTGGTGGGTAAGTCCTGGATTATATGAAGAGACTGGTGGGTAAGTCCTGGATGGTATGAAAAGACTGGTGGGTAAGTCCTGGATGGTATGAAGAGACTGGTGGGTAAATCCTCGATGGTATGAAGAGACTGGTGGGCAATTCCTGGATGGTATGAGGATACTGATGAGTAACTCCTGGATGGATGAGGAGACTGGTGGGTAAGTCCTCGATGGATGAGGAGACTGGTGGGTAAGTCCTGGATGAATGAGGAGACTGGTGGGTAAGTTCTAGATGCACGAGGAGTCTGGTGGGTAAGTCCTAGATGGATGAAGAGACTGGTGGGTAAGTCCTAGATGAATAAGGATACTGATGAGTAACTCCTGGATGGATGAGGAGACTGGTGGGTAAGTCCTGCATGGATGAGAAGACTGGTCAGTTATTCCTGGATGGTATGAGGAGTCTGGTGAGTAAGTCCTGGATGGTATTAGACAACTGGTGAGTAACTCCTTGATGGTATGAAGAGACTGGTGGGTAAGTCCTGGATTATATGAAGAGACTGGTGGGTAAGTCCTGGATGGTATGAAGAGACTGGTGGGTAAGTCCTGGATGGTATGAAGAGACTGGTGGGTAAATCCTCGATGGTATGAAGAGACTGGTGGGCAAGTCCTGGATGGTATGAAGAGACTGGTGGGTAAGTCCTGGATGAATGAAAACTTGTGGGTAAGTCCTAGATGGTATGAAGAGACTGGTGGGTAACTCCTCGATGGCATGAAAAGACTGGTGGGTAAGTCCTGGATGAATGAGGCAACTGATGGGTAAGTTCTGGATAGTATGAGGCAACTGATGGGTAAGTTGTGGATAGTATGAGGCAACTGATGGGTAAGTTCTGGATGGTATGAGGCAACTGATGGGTAAGTTCTGGATGGTATGAGGCAACTGATGGGTAAGTTCTGGATGGTATGAGGCAACTGATGGGTAAGTTCTGGATGAATGAGGCAACTGATGGGTAAGTTCTGAATGGTATGAGGCAACTGATGGGTAAGTTCTGGATGGTATGAGGCAACTGATGGGTAAGTTCTGGATGGTATGAGGCAACTGATGGGTAAGTTCTGGATGAATGAGGCAACTGATGGGTAAGTTCTGGATGGTATGAGGCAACTGATGGGTAAGTTCTGGATGGTATGAGGCAACTGATGGGTAAGTTCTGGATGGTATGAGGCAACTGATGGGTAAGTTCTGGATGAATGAGGCAACTGATGGGTAAGTTCTGGATGGTATGAGGCAACTGATGGGTAAGTTCTGGATGGTATGAGGCAACTGATGGGTAAGTTCTGGATGGTATGAGGCAACTGATGGGTAAGTTCTGGATGGTATGAGGCAACTGATGGGTAAGCTCTGGGTGGATTCTGGATGCTAAACTTATTTTCTAACCCCTAACTTACCTTACTTCGTAGGCTCCCAAGATAGATGTTCATTTACTGGATCTGGATAGTTCTCATGTCGTCCTGGATTTAGTCTCTGGGAATAATACAACAGTCCATCAATTACTCAGGGTAAGGGTTCTTTTAATTGAATACTGCATCCCATTATTGCTTGGTGAAGTCACTGATGCAGTATTATTTGTATCATATCATATAAGCATGATGTTTTTTCTTTCTGTTATCACCATAGCAACTTGATTTACCCAATGGTTGTGAACATCTCTTTGCAATATGGATCGCTTCAAAGAATTTACGTAAGTTATTAATCATACTCTACAAGTCTGGGGACCTTTTTTATCATCAAACTTTGCCACTGACAGGTACGAGACTGGGTCACTTGCTAGTACCAGATTTTTCTGATGGTTTCCAGACTAGGGTTTTTTTGCTAGTACCAGTTTGCCAATAATGTGTTCCAGACTAGGGTCACTTGTTATTACCAGACTTTGCCAATGTCGGTTACCAGACTGGGTCACTTGTTATTACCAGACTTTGCCAATGTCGGTTACCAGACTGGGTCACTTGTTATTACCAGACCTTGCCAATGTTCACTTACTAGTACCAGACTTTGACAGTTACAGGTATCAGACTTTATTGTTGAGGGTACACCCATCTTCATTATCAACATCTCCGGACAAGTACCTTGAATTTATTCATGGTTGAGTCATACAATATACACTGATGAGTATACAGGGCACTTGCACATTCCAACTAACTAACATTTGTCTCCTCAATAATTGCAAAAACTCAAAATACTCAAAATTGAAATATATTTTATGTCTTTTAGTATATAACAACTACTTTCCTGTCATATATCTCAACATACTTCTGTATAATAATATTTCGCCTTAACCTAAGGAGTGCATGTTTTTACAATAGAACATAAGGGGTCTTTATTTTAATAACTGTAATTGGTTGTTGCATGTATTCATTGCACATTGGCTCCCTAGTTTACTCCTTGCTTGCTCACTGTGTGCATTTAGAATTACAATTAAGGTCCTCACATAAACCAGTGATGGAAGTCAGGGAATGGGAAAACACCATATCACAGTATTCATATCATAAACCAGAACGACAAAAACCATATCTGTTCTTGAGAAGAAATGCTTTAATTCCATTGAAGCTTGAATTGAAGGTAGGTGATAAATGGTTACTGGCCTTCTCATCAAAGATGTGCTGGCATTATACATACTGGCATGGACAGTTAAAGATGTGCTGGCATTATACATACTGGCATGGACAGTTAAAGATGTGCTGGCATTATACATACTGGCATGGACAGTTAAAGATGTGCTGGCATTATACATACTGGCATGGACAGTTAAAGATGTGCTGGCATTATACATACTGGCATGGACAGTTAAAGATGTGCTGGCATTATACATACTGGCATGGACAGTTAAAGATGTGCTGGCATTATACATACTGGCATGGACAGTTAAAGATGTGCTGGCATTATACATACTGGCATGGACAGTTTAAAAAATTCATTTGTTTTATCAAATACCAAAACTGCTGTATGAAGTAAGTTGTTTTCATAATACAACACATCTTTGTTGTGAAGGTTTATTAAATAATGCATGAATGACTGAAATAATAGGTTTATAACCTGTTATTGTATGGTGTAATGGGTTTATAACCCATGAATGACATTAAGCAGACTATCTTTTTAATTAATATTATTCAGATTTACAAATGAGAGCGGAACATAAGCCTTTACTTCACATGAAATCATGGGACATTATTGTTAAACAATTAACTAACTACAAACCTGAGGCTGAGAAGCCACGATTGTATTTACGACGAGATGCTAGGTTAGCCTTATCGGTTGAAAATAAGGTATGTTTGGGATATAGTTTGGGAACACTTTAAATGTTGCACATTTCCTTCCACTAATATCAAAAATAAAGTAAAATTAGTCATTCCTAATAACATACCACTATGATTACAACTGTCAATGCAGTATAATATTTTTTCCATAGTAGTAGGTCTTTTTAATTAAGATCGTATAAAGAACTACAAATTTTCTCATGCCTTCCTCCACTATGTAGTTCAAGGAGGGGCTGCTCTTTTCTTCAATGAGTTAACCATCAAATTTGCATATCCTCATTTCAGATTTGTACATTTTCATTTCTATCTTGCATATTGCAACTTCAAATTTGCATATCCTAAATTCAGATTTGCATATTCTAAATTCAAATTGGCAATACTTCTTTTGCATCTATTATTCATAACTTTTTGTTGAATGATTCACTTTCTTTTGTTTAAGTTTTAACTTTTTCTGATAAATGCACCAGACTACATTTGTACATTGCTGAGCATCGCAGGTGCATATGTTCATATTTCAAGCATTTGGTGTATTTTTATTTCATGTCATGTCTTATGCATGTGGATGTCATGTCCTGTGTGTGTAGATGTCATGTCCTATGTGTGTGGATGTCATGTCCTGTGTGTGTATATGTCATGTCCTCTGTGTGTAGATGTCATGTCCTATGTATGTATGTCATGTCCTATGTGTGTAGATGTCATGTCCTATGTGTGTAGATGTCATGTCCTATGTGTGTAGATGTCATGTCCTATGTGTGTAGATGTCATGTCCTATGTGTGTAGATGTCATGTCCTATGTGTGTAGATGTCATGTCCTATGTGTGTATATGTCATGTCCTATGTGTGTATGTCATGTCCTGTGTGTGTTTTATATTATCACCTTGCCTTACTAATACCATGGATGGGATTTATTTGCTTTTATTTTTATTTTTTTGTTTTAAATCATATGGTACTAACTTGTTTAAAGTGAACCCAAAACTTACAAAAGTAACTAAATGTTGCCATTAAGTTATCTTTTAGATACAAAGTTCTTCTTGCTTAGCTGTGTATTTATGTGGGCACACATGAGCTGTCAACCAAAATCAGTAGTTGTGGCATTCATGATTGTTGGAAGAAAAATCAATCACAACAGAATTTGCTCCGTACTTGACATCTGATCTGAATATTTTGTGAATACTGTAATTGTTGCATGCTACAAACAAAATATACTCTATTGCAGCTTTAAGACAGTGGCATCATCAAAAATACTCTTTGATCAACAAATTGCATAAATTTCTGATGAAATCAATGGTTTGCAACATCTTGTGATGTGTTCATTCAGTCAGAACTAGTTATAACTTTCTCTTCCTGTAGCATGTCCTACCCTTGAATGCCTATCACCCCTCTATACATAATAGTATAGTCTATATGTGTTTGAAAAGCAGTAAGTGATCACTGCTGATTATGCATAAAGTTAAGTGGTTTTTGAATTTTTAACAGGTTAAGGATCCTCAGGCTATAAAATTGCTATTTGATGAGTGCCTAGTAAATGTGTTAAAGTCAATGTACCCAGCTACAGATGAAGATGCAATATCTTTAGCAGCAATATTGATGCAGGTCAGTGTGAACTGAGTTTTAGATTTGCATAAGGCATTGCATTGTGGGAATTTTAGTTAAATTCAATATTCTTTTCTACTAAGCATGTTACTGAGCAGATGACAATGCATTGTGGGAGTTTGAGTTGAATTGAAGTACATGTTAAAGAGTAATGCATTGTGGGATAGTTTGACATTTTCAACCAAGTTTCACTGCACCCAACAATTATCATTCATTCTCTGCATCCCAATTCCCAAATTATCGTCAGACGCGATGTAGTCTATTTAATAACCTAGCAAAAGAGCACAGGTAGACATGCAACCCGGAAGAAGTCAGCGGCATATTTTGAACAGTTTTTTAAAGATAGCGGAGTGAATGTGGGTGGCGAGAAAAACTATTTAAAATGGCTGAGAAACATGGATTTCCAGTTGAAAAAAATGATTTTTAAAATATGATCTTGTCATAGTTTTTCAACTTCCAAAATATCCGCAAAAATATGTAAATATTACGCTATAGCCAAAGATAATTTGCATGCTCGTTATTCTTGCTTAGGTAGAATAGTGTGTAAATTTTCAGAGGCTGGTATGAAAGATGATGGCAGTTTTATTCCAGGGGATTTTTTATGTTGCGAGCTGGAAACAATGATGTTCTGTGCACTGCGACTCTGCGTGTTTGGAACACTCAAAATCTGTCCTACCTTCCGGTTTGTTGACTCCAGGTAATACGATATCCACAACTGCACAAATGATGAACATGCAAATGCAATCAATTAAGGAACCCCCAAATGAATAGATAATGTTTGTTTTCAGATCATTTATGGAGATTATGATTCTAAGAAACACAAATCAGGTTTTTTAAAGTAAGTTTATATTATGAATATATTTGACTATCAGTGATTTTGATTGTTTTGCTCTAACTTTCTAGCACACTAGTTTTTGCTCTTTAACTCCCTAGTACACTAGTTTTTGCTCTTTAACTTCTTAGCACACTAGTTTTTGCTCTTTAACTTCTTAGCACACTAGTTTTTGCTCTTTAACTCCCTAGCACATTAGTTTTTGCTCTTTAACTTCCTAGCACACTAGTTTTTGCTCTTTAACTCCCTAGTACACTAGTTTTTGCTCTTTAACTTCTTAGCACACTAGTTTTTGCTCTTTAACTCCCTAGCACATTAGTTTTTGCTCTTTAACTTCCTAGTACACTAGTTTTTGCTCTTTAACTTCCTAGCGCACTAGTTTTTGCTCTTTAATTCCCTAGTACGCTAGTGTTTGCTCTTGAACTCCTTAGCACACTAGTTTTTGCTCTTGTACTTTTTAGCACACTCGTTTTTACTCTTTAACTACCTAGCACACTAGTTTTTGCTCTTTAACTACCTAGCACACTAGTTTTTGCTCTTTAACTACCTAGCACACTAGTTTTTGCTCTTTAACTTCTTAGCACACTAGTTTTTGCTCTTGAACTCCCTAGCACATTAGGTTTTGGTGAAATTCCATGCATATTAATTACCTAATTTGCATGATAATAAGCCAATTTTTAGCTGTTTTATTACTGTTCCATTGATATCTAAAGAACCACTCATTGGATTTTGATGAAACTTGGTATATAGATGCTCTGAACTTGTGCGCAGGTTTGATTAGTTTTTGGTAACAATCCATGCATATTAATTACTTAATTTGCATGATAATTAGCTAATTTTTAGCTGTTCCCTGACTGTTCCACTGATATCTAAACAACCACT